GCAGTTTGTCATGAGTAGGAAAATACTTTTTAAAACTCTTTGCCAGCATGTCTAAATGATTCTCAATGGTTACAAACGTAGCTTTCATATATTCTTCTTCAGCCTTATAAGTTTTAGTACAATTATCCACATTTGCAAACATTGTTAGGTTTTTTTGCTTTAAATTTCTGTCCCACAATTCTAATTTTCTACAAAAAACATTAACTTCATCACTCGTATCCAGCATATGTGTATTTGCTCCTTGAAGTTAAAGATTCAAGTTATTTAATTTCTCGAATATGACGACCAAGTATCTCAATTTCATCACAAATAAACAGTAGTGTAAATTCCCGGTTTCCGGTCTGTTATCTTCTAAGAAAATGACGATTTCTTCTCTTAATTCATGAGCACGTTGCAAAAATTTCTCACGTGATAAACATCTTGCCTCTCATTTAAATAGTAACTCTGAATGTACTGAACCCATGTCATTACAAAGAGCAGAAAAGATTCTCCATCTCAGGGTTCTCATTTGTATATAATTTGAAATGGTTACAACCGCAGTTAATACAATATTTAAACCAGGACGTATTTCTTTCGAACCCAAAGCTTCTCTGTGGATCATGCAATGTGTCCAGACGCATTGAGGCGATTTTTGTTTTACTAGTGCTTGTATACTTTCGAACCTTCCGGATATTGAACAAGCATACTCCGATGCATATTCCGAAGCAATTTTTGCATTCTGTGTTTGCATCATTCATAACGTCATTTAAAATAGCAAATAATGCTAGCGCTGTTGTTTTGAGTTCTATTGATTTGCAGAAAAGTAGTTCTACTACTGACATATTATCACAAAATCAAACATGGACAATGAAATGAGCATCTTTATTAATATCTCTTGCTTCAGAGTTTATTGAAAACATTTTGTCACGCAACATCGAGAAAAGCTGACACTACATTTTCAGCTGTATCACCAATTCGACAAGCAATAGTATCATTTGAAAGAGGTATGGACTGTAATTGCTTTGAAAAATTAACTCCAAACATAGTTTCTACAATCTCAATAGTTGCTGATTTTTACTTTACTTTTGTTTTGGTAGTTAGTTAAAAATAATTTAAAAACAGAATTAAAAATACTCAACATACATTATTCTTGCATACATTTTACTGCAAGTGGGGGTCGCGATGAAAATTATAATTGAAAACTGGGCCGCGAATACTGAAAGGTTGAGAAACGCTGCCTTAGAGCATGACATAAAAACCATCTTTTTCGGTTAAAATAGCCATTCAGATTTTTTTATTTTTCACTAAATATGAGGTAATCAAAAATATTATTTTGAAAACCAATATTTTCATTCACCTGTAACCATACAAATGGAAAAATTTCCGAATAATTGGATTAATTACCATATATTTTGGTTTTATTAACCAGACGTATGCTTTTTTTTTTTACCAAAAATAACATTACTACACATTACCGTAATTTTAACGAAACTTTTTTTCCTTTGTGTTCAAACAACTAACATTGAAGAATATGTACAATATTTAAACGTATTGACTTAAAGACAAAATAGAGAACATAAACACTAGGGCGTATCGAAAAAATCGAAATTTCTTAGATCTTTCTGCGGTAGTGCGGAAAAGATGTGAATTCTTATTATTAAAAGATTAGCGGAATCTCAAAACTCTGGGTTGATATCTTCTGTTGCCTCAATGAGCCTAAAGTTCCAAAAATTCGACTAAAAATGATTAAAATACAAAAATTAATACATAACCACAGATTTCGTTGATCGGTTTGAGGTAGCACTTACAATACTTTAAAAACAACAATATTTTAAAGTTACAATATTTTAAAAACAACAACTATAAAAAAATTTTGAATTACAGATTTATATCTTCTGCCGCCTCATCGGCATCTAATTTTGGAAATTTCGTACTTTTCTGTATAACTGTTTACTGCTTGCACAATCGAGACAGACTGGATTTGGCACTCTGCCAAAAAAAGTAGAACAACCTTATTTTGAACCTTATTTTGACAGTTCTAGTCAGTCAAAGATATGGTGTATCCAACAGAACCACGGCTGCTATAGCATGGAGTGTTATGAAAGATATCGCAATATTAATATCGCAATCAGATACCAGCCTCATTAGAGACAAAAATAAAATATGGAGGAAAAAATCGAGAATTTACAAAGAAATTGTCTCAAAATCAAATGAAAATCGGTCCACTATATATGGCCTTTATTTTGATAGACGACATGACAAAACTTTAGCATCAGAAACACACGAGGGCAAGCAGTTCCAAAGAACAATTGTAAATGCTCATTACTGTATTCTATCGGAGCCTGATTCTACGTACATGGGACATGTTACGCCTGTAAGTGGATCTAGTCCTCATATACCTAATAGCATTTACGAATACATGTGATTTATTGGATGATTTAAGGAACCTTTTCGTTCTCGGGTGTGACGGCACCGTAGTGAACACAGAAGTGTTTAATAGTGTAATTCGCAGGCTTGAATTGAAACTTCAGAGAGCAGTACAATGGATTATCTGCTTACTTCATTTCAATGAGTTGCCATTACGACACCTATTTGAGTCCATTGACGGCAAATCATCTGGCCCCACATCTTACACCGGAGACATTGGACGGAGCCTCAAAGGATGCGAAAAGCTTTCAATTGTTGCTTTTAATAGCATTGAATGCGAGATGCCAGATATTGATCCCACCACTCTCAGTTCAGATCAGAAATACTTATTAAGAATTTGCACCGCCATTAGTTTCGGCTTTTAATGTTCAGATCTAGCTAACCGGGAACCAGGAACATTGAATTTGGTTCACTGGCTAACAACTGCTAATCGAATACTGAGGTATATCTACATATCTACATCAGGTATGAGGTATGACATGAGGTATATCTACATATCTATTGATATATATCTACATTAGACCCATCAAACGTGTTGCTAACTTTAATTGTATTCATTCTAAGAGTCTACGCACCGTCATGGTTCCGAATAAAGATTCATCATTCCATAAAAAACAGTACTAGACACCTGTGGCATTTCATCAATTCCTCTCGCTACTTGCCTAAAACGTATCGTGACGTAATCAAACCAATTATTTCTCGCAACGCTTACTTTGCAGCTCCAGAAAACATACTTTTGGCCATGTTAACGGATGAGGGGTGCCATATTAGGACCCTTGCAGCTC